GATCGTCTAAAGTTGGAACTACCTACAAACTCGCCCGATCCGATCGCATGGACTTAAGAATGGCGACAGGGAGAGAGAGAGACGGCCGGCCGGCCGCCGGCCGTCAGAGCGTTGGCTACCGGAATTCAAACCGCACGACACTCGTTAAGGTTAAGGAGAGCGTGTGACTGCTACGACCCGAATACAAGCCACACGAAACTTGGGGAAGGAATCGAGTGTTTCGAGTGTTTGGTTTGCCCTTTCCTTTCCCTCTGCCAGATAGAAGCGTCGTCCCCTTAATACGCGTTTTGTTCGGTGTTGTTTTTGTTTTTTTTATGTTCGGAACTTCAAATCCGTGACGAGGCACAAAATTCAGTGGTGTAGAAATCCTCGCGTTGTGTGTGCGTGTGCGTGTTTTTTTTAGGGGGGTCATTCGCTTGTTTCCTGGATTTGCTGGGAGTCCTAATCCGTGTAAGGGTGGTGGCGGCGGGGCACGCGGTTGGATAGATGGGCAGACTCACTTTTGCGTACGCACCACGACCCATTTTGTCCGTGTCCTGCCCGGTGCGCGCGAAATTATCTTGAGCCTGTCCTTCGATGGTTTCTTGAAACATTTTTGTCCATCGATGACTTCTTCTTGTGTGTGAGTGGCGTTGTTGTGCATGCGGTACACAGATGCACCACAAAAACTAGCGTCTGTTTGTTTTCGGAGGGGCTGGAGGCAATGGGGGAAAAAAATGGTCTAGGTTGTAGACTAGATCGATTGCTCTCGCACGATGAGTGCTGATCGTTGCAGATGTGCATGTAGTCGTGTTGTTTGTTGCCTTCTCTCCCTCTCTCTCTTGAGAAGGAGAGGAGAGAAGGCAAAAAGAAACACCATGGCCGAGAACAACGGAAACGTTAAGGTAGAAGTGGTGGTTGTCTTGTCTTTGCACCCCGAGTACGGTTTTGGTTCACGGCTAACGCTTTTCCCATTTCGCGAGGTCAGGTCAGGTCAGGTGTTGAGGGGTAATAACCTCTTGGCACATGAGAAACCTACCAGCGCGTTTAGTGTTCGGTGGTGTAGTACTGTAATACTTGCTTCGTCTGTTGCTGGTGCGAAACCCTTACAATGGTGAATTATTTTGTATTAACGTGTTTTTCGTACGCCGGATGACGTTCCCATTCGGGGGGGCGGGGGGGGGGGGGGGGCGTAAGGGCCGAGACTCCGGAGTGCCCCGTGGGTTGGATTTTACCCCAGGGTCTGTACCCGTTCGAGTAGTTCGAGCTGCCTGGTACTATCTACCACGCTTAACGGTAACGTGCTTGCTTGTGGCTGCGCAAAGAGCTGCCTTCGCAGCTTTGCACCGGGTGGGTGTCGTTGCGACGCGCACGGCGCGCGGTGCTGCTGCACTGTGACGGGTGGCTTGCCTTTTGCTTGCTATTGTTTTCGTGGCTCCAATTCGAGGAGACCACCGTCCCTGTCCCAACCCTTTACGTTTCTTAATTAAGTTGCTGTAGCATGTGTGTGTTCTTCGACGACTTGCAGCAAGAAGAGTCGAGGGTAGAGGGTAGAGGATATACTAATGATACCCTATCGATTTTTGGATATTCGGCCGCTGAGCCTTTTGCCGTTTGCGGTGAAGACGCAAAGAGAAAAGGCACGCGCAGTTACTGTTACTACACATTATCTTTGTCTCAGGTGGAAGGAAGGGGGAGGGGGCCGCGGGGAGGTGATACCTACCGCGTGGCCTCCCACCCTAGTTAAGTTTTGAAGGGGGGGAAGGAGCTGATTGACGTCGAGAAGTATGTGTCTGCACTTTCAACGAGATGAGTAAACATGCGATATTCCCACCCTCCCCAAGTCTTCATACACGCACTATACACTTGCCGGATTCAAGTGTTGACGTCACACTTTCAGAGGGGCTCGACGTCTCAACCTGAGTGCGCTTAGTTTAACTCCTCCTTGTCGTTGCATCCCTATCTACACGTTGGGTGGTAGTAAGTAGTAGGCGATGCGGAAGAAGGAAAATTCGCAGTCTCTCAATGTTCATTCAAGTCTTGAGCCACGCCACCGCCCGCGTGGGAGCGCTCATCACCTGCCACGCAAGTTTCGTGGCGTAAATGGATGGATTTGACAGCGGGACGCGTTTCGTCGGCTTCGTGCATCAAGGTATCGATCGATGTGATGATATAAAGTGTCCACTGTGCACAGACAGCCCCAATTTAGCCCGCTGGGGTGTCTTGTTGTGTGACCCCTTCTCACTCTTCCTTTCCTGTTATAATAATACGAATGCTTGTAGCGAGAACGCCTCTCTCTCTCTTCCGGACGTACCCCCGCTTCACGGACGTCCGTACACACGAGCTAGCTGCAGCTAAATGCATAGCTGCCGGCGCCTGGGTAAAGTTCTTTCTTCTTCATAGCTGGGCCAAGCGGCCTTCTTCGCACTCTCCGCTTCTTCTACGGCACCACCACCATCGTGGCGTGGGTTGACAAAGACGGCGGGGCCGGACTTCCGTCCCCTAGGAAATCCCTCGGCTATAGACACCCAACCTTCCTCAATCTCTGCTGCCGTGGTACATCTATCGCCCATCTACCTTTTGATACAAGTGGGCCTGCTCGGCGGGATTCTCCGGAGCTCCATCGTCCTGGCCGGGGGAGGCTTGTACAAGGCCACCGCCATGGCAATACCGCATGCGGCGGCGGCGGCGGCGATGAAGACTGTGGCCAGGACCCATGCTGCTGGTACTCGCGACGACAGCAGCACCTCCGAGGACGACGAGCGCGATCGTGGTCGCGCCCCTTCCCGGCCTTCTCCCTGCGCGGACGGCGATCGAGAGTCGTCCCTCTCGTCCTCACGCAGCCTGGGCGAGAGAGAGAGGCGAAACAAAACCAACCACCCAAACAAGCGTGCGAACAAGACAGACAGAAAGAAAGAGGCAACACAACAAACAGCTAGCAGTTAGTCGGGAAAAGGCTAGAAAGTAGCCATCAGTTCCTGAGACGGGTACGGTTGGCTCGATTCAGGCACAAGAAGACGGTTGGCGGAGGGAGTGCAACGCTATCATTGACGTTTCTTGCTTAGGTGAGGAGCACGAGCAACGTCATTACAGTAGTAGTCCGAAACATGACAAGGACAACGATTAGCAAACCAATCAATCAACGTTTTGTCTCTCTCTGCCCTTATGCGAGGTCAATGGTCTAACGACTACGCCATGCACGGCCATGAGTACATCCCTCCCCCCCGCCCTAAACAAATCCCTGTCGCCGTCTTCGTCTCTGCCTCTGCCAATTATCCCTGCTGCATCCCAGCACTAGCATTTATCTCTATCCCACACCCACCATCTTCCAATCACCGCGAGAGGATCGGCCAGGGCGCCTGGGTCAGACACATCGGCGGCGCCTAAGGCCGTCAGGAGCTCTCCCGTGGCCCCGTCGAAGACCGCCAGCGATGGAGTTCCTCGCACCTGTGGCATTCACCGCATCATGTGCACGCGATCGAAGCAACGCAAGAACGATCGGTTCTTCTGCTCTTGATTAGAGGGAAAGAAGCATGGATGGATGCGATCCGATTGATTTCACGGGGCCGAAGGCACAGCACCGAAAACATGGGTCGTATGGAGGACAAGCTGGACCCCAACCTCGCTTGAAAAAGGCCAAAGAACACACCGGCGAAGGAAAACCTCTCGTCTGTTTCCGTCTCGACGCTCACTACTACCGTTGTTGTAGACGACTGCAACCTATGAAACACTACGAGGGGAAATTTGGATGTGCCTTGCGTGCGCGTGCTGGACTACTATAATAGCGGAAGAAATCAGCCTTCGTGACCGCCACGCCCAGTCAGTGCGAAAGAGGGAGGCACACAGGGTCGTAGCTCCCCAGCCGTTCTATGGCGTTAAAGAAAAAACGTGCGCCCCCCCCCATAGCTCTGACAGCTATATCTTGGCAAGAGCCGTGCGGAAAACTCAATAAAATTAGCCAACCGCATCATCACCATACCTTACAAGCTCCGGCAAGTCTAGCCGTGGCCGCAGTCTCTCCGTAAGGCACGGCAAGCCTGAAGAAAACGTCGTCGAAAACCGCCGCGCAACGTAAAACGGGTCAAGCAACGATGAACACACGGATCCAGCTAGGCATGGTCTACGTTGGTTAACAAGCGGTAGCGTGACACGAATCTCGGCGAGGTTCGCCACGGTATCTCACCATGGCATGCCCTCACGATAGGCTCGGAACGCCCTTGCGTCTCGGTCGTTGCTCACGAACACAACCTGCAACGATCCCGGCCCGTCCCCGCGTGCATGGACAGAGCGTGAATCGCAGCAACACAAGGCAGTCGGGACGAAATGAAGAGTACGGCAGCTTCGAGGAGGGGAGTCCATCGGAGGTTTGAGGGCGGCAAAGTAGGGTCTTATTCAGCTCTGGAGTTGCAGCAAAGAGCATGAAACGACGATCAGCTGGATATTAGGGGCTTATTTAAGAGGGGGCACGACACTGCTGTGTCACGCTCGTCCGAAGATAACAGAAAACAACTGCAGCAGAGATGGGTTGCGCGTCTGGGCCTACTTGTAGTGATGTCCGCCTGGACCTTCTTTTCAGCTGATTCCCGCGAGGAATAGCTCAGAACCGGCAAGAGGTCGCCCACTCCAAAAGTGGGAGGTGGATTTCTTCAACCCCGAAAATATTCCACCGCCGATCGAGATTGATTGATCCATCAGCCAGTGGTGAAGGACCAAACCGGCCAGCCTTTTTTTCTTGGATGAGACCGCTGGAGGAGATGCGCCGCTAACCACGGAAGAAGAATCGCAGGGGCGCGTAACACAACGCCGAACGAACCACGGACGCATGGCTTAGCGGGGTATTACTGCGCTCGTCCTGAAAACAAAATCGTTCTCTCGCCTCGAAAGCGTCTTGGTCGCGCTGGAGACAGGCGTGGTAGAACAGAGCCAGCTTCGAGCCCAAGCCCCTGCACCACCTGGCCGAGAACAGAACTCCGACGGCCCTCTTCCCGTGGAGGGACGCAGAAGTGGCCTGGGGGGGAGAAACGGAAAGAAAGGTGAAACGTCTCTTGCAAACGAAAGGGGCCACTTCGATCCCCTACCGGCATCTGGCACGCCGCCGTTCGTCGGCGGTGGGGTACAAAAAGGTAGAACAAGAACTCGTCTCAACAATAGTGGTCGGGAAACAAGAACAACAAGGGTTCATCACGGGACCTCGCGGCAAACAGACACCCCCCGTATGTTCGCCAAGCCTACCGACCATGGATGTGTCATTGCTTGCATATTGCCAACGGTGTCAACATGCTCGTGGGCATGTTGCCTGCACGATACGATTGCGTCGATGAGTCAGCTGCACATGCCCACGCATCGGGTTGGATTTTACCCTTGTAATGTACTGGCTCTTGCCGTGTGCGTGTAACGATCTCTGTTAAAAATACGGTGAGCCTTCTCTGACCCACCCAGCATCAAACAGCGGCTAGAAAACGCAGCGCCAACCTGGCAACAACCGAAAACAGATCAGAGGTTTTAAACTTGAACACCGCCAACTGAAGACAAACATCTGGCCGAGTCCCTCGAGAAACGCATGCACTTTAGTTGTTGATGAATCAATGCCTAGAGGAAGCACGCCCCGTGTGTCTTGCTCATGTGTGTACAACAGAGTCTAACTTCAGGCGATATCTATCGTTGTTTACAAAGAACATGGTGCAGGCTTCCTGGGTGCACCTGGAGAGTTCCAGTTGTGTCCAGCAACGCTCTCGGATAGATACCATGGGTCCAATGTTTTCGTCTCATGGTGGTTCCGAATTTGAGCAGCTGCACTTCGTGTGGCGACACGACCCCCATCTCTCCCGGTAAGGGGTTTTGTTTGTCGCTGGCTCTCGCTCCGGCGCAAATCTCTGCAAGTCGCGAAGGATCTCCGTTTTTACTTGGTTCTCTCAGCTCGGAGATGCGGGGATACGTCCTTTTGCCCCCCCCCCCCCCAACGTGCGCGCTGTGTCGTCACTGCTGTTCAAGCCGGGCATCACGCACAAGCACCGACGCACCCTTTGCCTATGGAGGAAACGTACATGCCAGATGGGCCAGAGGCTCAGCGTATAGCGAGGACAATCCCGTTCTACCCGTTCAAAGGAATTGATCGATTCTACGATATCGGAGGTACGATCTACCATTTTGGTTGTCAGCAAGTAGTACTGACTGTATCGGTGCATGCATGGATTGGGGCATCATCCGCGTTGAGAGAGCTGCAGCGCGTACAAGAGATTATGGCGGTGATCATCTTGCAATCTCTTTCTGCATTCCGTACCCCCTAGTGGTCATCTATTTACTGCTGTAATGTAAAAGCGACCCCATGCCCTTGAACCCTACAGCAGGAGCAGCAGCAGTGGTGCACAAGTACACCAGCTAGACTAGTTGTTGCTGCTGTAATTTCTTTTTTCGGGACTGTCGCGTTCTGCCGACCGCTCCATGTGTTTTTTTATTACAAGTCCCAAAACCAAGTTCACACAGCATAAATTGTCCGCAGGAGGTACGGCCTCTGTTCGCACTAATGTAGCAGTTCTACTGCTGAAACTGCGGGAAACGCCAAATCTACGTAAGGAGGCAAGCTGACTCTAAAATTAACAGGGATGACTGCTACTACTCATTCGGCAGAGGCAGCGCTATCGCCGGCGACAAAGCCGAATTCTTGAAGGCTCATGTTGCACACCGATGTGGTTCTCAGGAGCTGAGACACAGGCGCTGTTGGTGTGGTGTGTGGCTGGCAGGGGCTGGTGTGTGTGTGGTGTGTGGTTGTGATGGCAGTGGGGGGCGACAGGAGTAGGCCCATAGCAGGCGCCTCCGGGGAGCGAAAAAAGGGGGTAGACAGCTGGGAAACTGACCCCCCCCGGTAAAAAGGGGGCCAAAATATCGAGTATCGAATACCGATATAAATACCGATTCGTATCGACAAATATCGGCGTGGAAACCGGCAATACCGATACTGCGTATCGGCGATATATATCAGTTTTGTATCGATATTCGATACCCAATATCCAACACTGTTTTTTTAGGTCAGAGAGTTGATGGGTATCCATACAGTGGGGGTCCCTCTATAGTGCGGGTATGTGACATGCGAAAAAAACCGCACTGTAGAGGGCACCCGCATTATATGCTTTCGGGCCTGAATAGTGCGGGAAGGCGCACTATTCAGGGTTTCAGAACCCTCAATAGTAGTGTGGGTAGGCGCACTATCCACGAAATCACTAGGTTTTTGCATAGGACGTAGCCAAAAGCGAGGGATACTGTATGCAGGTGGCACGGTAGTGCATGTAACAAGTGAGGTAGGGAAAAATTGCCGTATCTCTACGGATAGAAGCCTGCATCCGTTCGCAGGTGAGCAGAGAACAGCAAAAGTTGCACATACATCGGGATGTACTGCACAGCAGCGGCAAACATTATACAACCACATCCTGTACTGTACAGAGATGTTACGCAATGTACGCTCTGTACCAAAAAGGAAGGCTGCGCACAGCCCATGTTGTTGTTCCTTGTTCCATTCTGCATTGAAAGTTCCGCTTGCACATTAAAAAAACAAGGCCTCCAAAATGAAACCTGAACTTGCCAAATACGAAACACGTCTGTTCACAAACGAAACGAACACCTTTTCAACACGACCCAGACACACCCACGGAGAAAAAAAGAGAGGGGGGACACTCCAAGAAAAATATAATAGAAACAAGGACCCCAAAAAAAATCCTACATTGTACTTCCCGCACGTTCTACCTCAAGTTTTCCAAGAAAACCCCACACAACACAACGCCATCTACGTTTGGGGGCGGCGGCTTTGAAGAAAAAACGGCAAAGTGAAACTCGCAGACAGTTGACTCATTCAAGCACCCGGCAGATCCACTACCAGCAAATTACAGCAGGAGCTGCGTGGGGCAAAACGGCTGGCTGATTGCTCTACGCATAAAAAAACTCCCTAACATCGGCCTGGCGCGACGGCTTCGATGCATGCGCTTCGATCATCAACATCCGTGCCCTCTTGAGCAAGTAGCTGGCCTCGTTCAAGCTGCACCCTGCCGCGTAGCTTTCCAGGGGGGCGAAGTGTTTGGAAAGTTTGGAGGAGAAACACGCCGGACAGAGGCGGTTCATTTCGTTCTCGCCGTCCTCCTCCACCTCGCCGCATATACCATGCAGTCTGCCGCCACATCCTCCTCGACATTGGTGGCCGTCGGGGGCTTTGGGTGTGAGGTTGCTAAGTTGGCAGAGTTCGCCTGCTGCACACGGCATCCTGTGCCTCTGCTGCTGTTCCTGTGGCCAGTAGGGGTATGCTGCTGCTGCTAGGCGTGGCCGGTAGGGGTATGTGTGTGTGTGTGTTTTTTATTACATTAGCATCGACCGCGCTAACCGGCTGACCAATGAAAAGACGTCAGTGCCAACGGGTAAAAATCAAGGTCCCTGGAATGGGGGCCAAAATTCGAAAAATGCGCAATGCGCTAAATGCGAACGCCAGTACGACTGTGTGTGTTTGTGTCGGGAAAATGTGTGGGTTGGCTATCTAGGTTTGACCGCATCTAGGCGGGTGGTGACGTGGCGTGACGTCAAATCCGCACTATATAGGGTCTTGAGAGGGGTCAAACCCGCACTATAGAGGGGTGCCCCCAATAGTGCGGCACCCGCACTTTAGAGGACTCAATTTGTGCCTAGCGATTTCACCGCAAATTAGCGGGCACCCGCACTATATAACCCGCACTATAGAGGGACCCCCACTGTACGTCGATATGTCGATAACCGTACCATGTGAAGGGGGAGATGCCACACACAGGATAAGGGTCGGGTTTGTGTCCAGGGGTAAGTTTGAGATGTGGTTCCTTCGCGTACGTTAGTCAACAATAATCGGCGAACATCGAGAGCGTCGGGAGGGGAGTTCTGGTGTTGTCTACACCAACGGCGAACGATAACATTTGAAAGAGTTGGCAATATTTCGGTTTACAGCAGTCTGGGCTGCAGTTGTCCTCCTTTCTGCAACAAGCATTGCTGTTCTGGCGCATTTTTTTTTAACAAACATGAGTTTCTGCCCGGCGTGTCAACTGCTTCTCACCTGCCAAAACTGGCCGTAGGTGCTCCATGTACTTTGTAGCTGACTTACTCTACGATCAAGTGTCGTAAGCAAATTTAAGCCAGATATAAGGTGAACTAAAAGTCCTGTGTGCAACATACCGTGGCGGCCGTGATGACACCGTCGGAACGAAACCTATTTGCCCGGTCACTGTTGATAGGCTCACAATACAACCTACTTTGCAGGACACGTTTTGATTTGTCCACACTCCAACGTGGAATCCCACATGACTCAGAAGCTATAAATGCAACGGCAACGTTCAATTCCTCGTCCAATCGCGAATGGTGATCACTCGTCCAACTCAGCCAGTGGTGCCAACCCTCTCTGTAACGCCTTTGTTTTCTCATGGCGCTCACCAGGCATGTGCGCTGACCCCGAAGCCTTCGCTTTGGCCGTCAAGATCTTCGCTGATAGATACAGGTACATGCCATTGAAACGTTCACCTCGAAGGAACAGTCGGTTGCTTCTACGCGCCACTGGTTTCACGTTCACGTACCCCGGTACATAAATGCGCGGACTCGCGACGCCTTTTTTTCGTCGTGGAAATGAACCAACCCTCCATTCGATTGATTGTCCCGCTTTCATCAACCTTCTCCCGCGTAAAACCGTTTTCCAGGGGCATGAAGATTGACTCCATTGGTGGTTTCGACGCTCGAGGCTTCATCCTCGGCCCGCCGGTGGCTCTCGCGCTCAACATCCCGTTCTTCATGCTGAGGAAAAAGGTGGAAGTACATTCGTTTCCCTGTCCGAAGAATCAGTAAGCGCCTTCGTAGATTGTGCTCCTTCTTGTCCGCGTGAACGGAAAAGAATGGATGGGTGACAAGGCTTTCGTCTGCCAACGTCGCGGCACGGATCGTCCTGTTGGGGGCCAACTCAAGGGGGTGCCGGAAGACGGACGTTGCCGAGTCAACTCAAGGCGGCACAGCAAAAACCTCGAAGTTTCGGTCTTGCAATAATTGGATGTATGTACGCATATGCTAGTACATGAATAATTGGCAGCAACGCCCCGGCCAAACCCCGGACGCGCCGCCGGAGGTGCGCCAGGTAACCGCCGTCGCAGCAGTCGATTTCTCTTCTCCCTTGAAGCAGGCCGCCCACTCCCCGCCCCCCTCTTTGCACCATCGTCGCCGACAAAACCTCGTTCGTGCTGATCACAACTTGATTTCGACACGCAAACTCTCGTCATCCTTCGTCCCCCACCTACCCCGCCTCTCAGAGAGGACGCGAGGTCAAAACATTATGCACACGGCATGCAAAACATGAGTAGTACTCCCCCGCTCGCACCGTGCGCGCTGAATATTCCCGTTCCCCCCAGGGGAAAATGCCAAACGTCATCGATGGAGCGGCGTACTCCAAGGAGTACAAGGGGGACGACGGGGCCGGCCAGGACGCCTTGTGCGTGCAGCGCTCGGCGGCCACGGCGGGGCAGCGGGTAGTTCTTGTGGACGACTTGGTGGCAACGGGGGGCACGCTGATGGCCGGAGTCGACCTCGTGAAAGGGTTGGTGAGTCGGATCTACGGCTGCGATATACCTACCGCTGCACTAGAACATGTGCAGTAGTAGTAGCGCATCTGCAGGCCGGCTTGTTGTGTGTGGCGTTCATTTTGTGGCGAAGATCGACGGCAGCGATGTCGGGGTGAAGGTTGGGTTTGGGCGGTGTTAAGGGAGAGGGCTACTGCTATGTCGCCGCCATATCCATGAGAAGCTGGCTGCCGCTGGTGGCGATCGATGGGACCATTCGTCGCAGCAGTTGGGGTTGAGTTCTATCCTCCAGATTGTTTGTTGATGGAGCTCTGGAGCTTTTCTTTCCATGGGCAGCCTTGGTGGTTCGTTCATTCGGGCACCGGGACTGGATGGTGGTTGTAATCGATTTTTTAGTCACAACATGAGTCACGCGTATACGGAGAAAAGAGGAGGCTAACTCGTTTCAACGTTGTTGGTCGTGGTTTTTGCACGTACTACTGCGGTGGTTGTAGCCGTTGTGATCCTGAAGATGCGTCTGGCCATTCTTTTCTCCAGTGCTTGCGCATCAGCACTAATCCTGCCTGGACAGAAACTACCCCCACGGTGCCGGGCCAGAACCTCATTGCATGTGTGCAAAACCATTAGTCTAGGCTATCGAGAGATGGGGTAGTACGAAATTCATGCAGAACTGCATACATACGTCCCGTCCACCTGTCTGTGAAATTTTCGCGTGCAGGGTGCTGAGGTGGTGGAGTGCGCGTGTATGATCGAGCTGAAAGCGTTGAACGGCGTTGGCAAGCTGCACGAGCGCCATGCGGACGTACCTGTGTGGTCGCTCATCAGCGAGAACATCCTCACCGTCAAGGGCGAGGAGAGCAGCTAGGCTAGTTTAGCAGCGTAGTTGCGCACGATGCAGGGGACGTCTATCTGCGCGTGTGGTCAACACCTAGGGATCTTGTTCCCTTTTTGTGCAGGCAGACGTGAACGCACAAAAAGTGGCCGTGCTGGTTTTTGGCGCAACGGCACCGGCGCCTAAATGTGTTTTTTCTTGTGCGTGCGACACTTCTGCCTACGAACTGCTCGCTGTAGATCTAGACTGACCTAGTAGTCGTCATTAACGGAGCATTCGCGCAGCTCCGCGGTAAATTTACTCCTTCATTTGTAGAGTTCATGACCGTCTCGACAACAGTGAGGATGGAGCTACAACAATCAACCGTGGACGGACTTTCAGTGCATACAAGCCTGTGCACACCACTGTTTAAAATGCGCAACGCCAGCGAAAGACTACATGCACACACCCTCTGTCGAGATATGTCGAAGTCTTCACAATGAGTCGAGGGACACCTGTGGGATAGTGGACTTCGCGAGTCTATGCATAATGCATACCACATGCGTACATGCGCACATGCGCACAACAACTTTTGTTCGTATCAATGCATGTCATCGCAAAGGGACTAAACTATACATTGACACATTTCCTCAAGGGAATGTGTGCAACTTGGGAATATGTTGTGTTTCACTCTGCAGCCAGCCGTGTGGGGTGCTGTTGACCGACGCCCACTCTCTCTTCTGTTACTACTTCAGGGCGAGGGTACACTATGGGCCTCTCTAAGAAATACTATTATTTATATGTACACATTTCACAGGAACGCTACACCCGTTCGGGATAGTACCATAATGAAAGGGACGCGGTGGAGTCTCTGCAGCGAGTGGGGGCCTGCCCCACTCGCTGCTGAATGATCTCTGTGTGGTAATGGTGCAGTAGTGCATGATCTCTCGCATCGGTTCTCCGGAGAGTGTACACACGGGGCCCCCAAGATACCCCTACCCAGGCTGTGGCAGTGGCAAATCAGATATTGCACACCCCTGCGTGCATGGGTTGAAGAACGGACAGCACTTCCCTTCTCTGCTGAACACTTTCGGCACCATGGGACGCGCAGGCGTGGCGCTAGCTGGTTGGACGATCCTCTTGTGTTTTTCCTCCGTCGCAGCCCAGAACGAAAGCTGTACAACCGAGACGTGTGGCGTGAGCACCTGGTGAGAGAGCGAGAGAGAGAGAAGAAAGTGCGGTGCAAATCCTTTTCTTTCGTGATCCCATCGTTTGTCGGGTAGAGGGGACAGGCTTCGGAACTGTTTTTCGTGACAGCGAGCTACAGCTTTCACGGTGGTGCGGGAGGGAGATACGGATAGATAGGCCCGCTGCACCGGACTTTCTGGTGGTCGGCATGCTCCCCAGCTGTCAGATTTGAAGGCTGCGCTCTGTGCCTTGGAAGTCAAAATTCTCTGCAGTGTGCGGCGAAGGAGTGTAATTTACGTACGAAGATGTTCTGCCTACTTTGCCGGCCAAACCAACAGCCAACAGCAGTTGCGTGTCCGCTGCCCAATGGTTGCTCGGACCACAAACAGACAGTCCCGCGCGGAGCTTGATCCCTCGACCAGCCCCAATAGAGCTTTGCTACTCTCTGGCTCTCGTTGGGTCCCTTCCCCGAGTTTCGGTTTAATTGGTCCATTGACGGATGATTTTCTTGTGTCATCATCTCCGAGCTGTTCGACTCTCACATCAAGTGTCCAACCTTTGGTCACGAGTAACGGCACCTGCGGCAGATAGAGGTCGAGAGAGCTGTGGCGCTGTAGCTCACAAAACGAGCTCTCTTGTGTGCATAGCGGTGGAATGGTTTTTCGGTTTGGGCACCAGCGCGGCCGGCTGTCGGTGTCAATCACTTGAGCGAGCTTGTACCTGTCTGTTGCAGAATTGTGAGTTGATGCACGCGGATTGTTGTTGGCTCACCTTGATGGATAAAATGTAAACCGCACGCACAGCAGTGGCTGCACAATAACGCGTACATTCATTTCGTACGACGCAGCACCGCCGTGTCAAGAATTCTGCAGCAGTGGGTATGCCTGCTCCAGACCTTTCGTGCCATGGGAAATACCGAACACCTTTTGTTTCTATAAGTATTTGTTCGCGTTTTTCTTGGAGTGGGTGGGGGGGCCGAAGCAACGAAGGATCGCCCGGGGGAGGCTTACACTAGGGACCAGCAGCAGCTCCCGTGTTCGGCGCGTCTGAACCGTGCGCGGGACGCAGGTGGTAGAAGTAGTTACTGTGTAGTTGTACGATCGCCCTTCAAGCACCTGCTGCAGTGTCGTCCGTCCTTAACGCCTAGGACCGACCTCGCCGGCATATAATTTGCTCTTGCTTCTGTCCAGCCTCCCTCGGTGCCCCTCCAGACAACGGGGTTCAGAGATTGTTTCAGCGTGTCTACCGACCCTTTACTACTACTTGTACTGCAAGTACTTCGAAGTACATACAGGTAAAACTGGCGGCTTTGCTCAGTTCAGCCGGGTATCGTCGTCCGAGCTTGCTATTCGTGAATGGAGGAAGACACGCCGTCGGGGCGGCGAAACCCGCTCGTGCCAGAAGAAGCACGCCGTTCTTGGGAGAGACGGCTATTGGCGTTGCACGTACTGCAGTGCAAGCCGACCACCCCACCCCACCCACAAGACCCTTCGCACCTATTTATACACCTCGACGGCGTTGAAGTGAAACGCGAGTACCTGCTGTAGGGGGGGGCGTCGAAATACCACACTTGGTTTTGAACGGAACCCTGAGACGCAAGGGCTCAGACCGCATCGCCTTTTTTGGTTCCGGTGGAGTAGCACGATCCACCAAGGTTTCGGCCGAAGAACATGACTTCTTTCTTGACCGCCCGTCCGTGACGATACTACCAATTGATTGCAAACCCTGCATCACTCTTTCTATACTGCCAACTGATTGCAACCCTACCTTAGGCTTTTGACCTGCGATGCTGTGCACTCCACACAACCCCGTCCACTTGTGCGAACCGTGTACGTATCATTCGACATTCGTTGTTGTCTCGTTCTGTTGCGAAAAAATCCCCGGAACTTAGCGAGGCTGGGAGGGAGCTAGAGGTCTCCCTTGAAGGAACGAGCTTGGAGATCAGCTGCAACCTTTGCTTGGAAAACTTCTACAAGGCCGAAGAAAGCGCAGAGTGAGAAACCCAACTCTTAAGTGACGATTACGTGTACCCCGCGCAACGAATGAGGAAGATCTCGTGGCAATCCACGAACAAGAATTGCCACTTGTTTTGCGGGGTACGTTTTCGTCTATACAACTCTCCCGCGCTGTTCGTCTCGACCGCGCAATCCGTGCTGCGGGTTTGTCCGACAACTGGGGAGTGGGTGCGCGGACGAGACTAGAATAAACGGCACAGCAATCTCCACATTCACAGGAGTGGAGCTTGCTGACGAATATTACACATACAGTCGTAGGCCCTCTATGAGGCGGGTATGCGCCAGACCGGCTCACCCGCCCCATGCAGGGCACCCGCCTTATTCAGTGTATTAACCGTCTTGAATATTCCAACTGTGCCAGCCAATTTCACCCGCATCTACAGCGGGCACTCGCCTTATAGAGGGCCTACGACTGTACCGTCACCCTGATTAGTTTGCAGAACCAACAAAGAGTTATTGGCTTTAGCTTTTAGTGTGGGATGGGGTCCCAAGTTGTGGCGGGTTCTGCAGCAGTGCCACTGGCACGGGTTGTTGTCGCATTTGCGAAACGTGTGTCGTGCGTGCGCTAAAAAAAAACGCCGCTGACTCTCTCGATCGGTGCCGTGCTCCGCCGCGCTTCTTTCGCTTGGGCCCCCGTGCGCTGGTCTTCAAAATCTCCGGGCTGCTGGTTTTATTGCTGCGCTTCTTTCTGGAACGCCGCGGGGGCGGGACCTGACGGCGATGGCGATCGGTTGTCAGTCCTTGCCTGGCCTGTGGCGATGGATTGGTATCGGAAGTAGGGGCAGTCGTTTGCACTTTGGAGGCCGGGTTTTGGAGAACCAGCAACAGTGAGTCGCGAGGCTGTATGATGAGTTGAATCCGGATTTACTTATTGCCGCAGAAAATTATGTAGATAGCGGATTAAGCATAGATGGGGATTTTTTTCCAACCACGATTTTACGGAACCCCCTACGCGGGTACAATCGAGAGGCCTTCTGCAAGCAGCAAGTGGAGTTGTAAGGCGTGTACTATTTGTAGTTTTTTCTCACCTCCATCTCGCTTCTGTGGGAAACGTGCTGCTGCTTCTGCGACGGTTTTGGCCTCAACGGCTAGCGGTGTGCAACACTCTGGAGAGAGCCAGCAGTGTGCCGTGCCCAGCCTATTGGAGACCTTTACTATTGTACAATGGTCCAGGCCATGTGTTGAATCATTCGGAGTCGTCGCTGCAACCGCCCTCGTTTTCGAAATTCGTTGATCGGTTGTTCTCTTCCGTGGTCAAAGCGCGAACCATACGCGTACGTGCTGATCGATCGTTATTTTTTTTTTTGTCGTTGTCGTTGTCGTGGGTGGTTGTCTCTTCTGCTGTGTCCCTTCGTCTTCAGCCTCGGACATCGTGTACGAGTGCCCCAACGCGGACGCTTGTGTTGGCGGAGCCACTGTAGAGACGTACTGCAGCGACGGCTTCAAGGGGCCACGTGAGTACTCATCCATACACCTACGTAGCAACAGGTCACAACCGCCGGGTCCCCTCAGATCCGCATGTTAGTCACGAGTCTCGCCTGCGCTGCAAGTGTTGCTAGTCTGTAGATCTCGGTCTGCGAACGGTGCGTTCAAGGCACCGCCTTCAACGGATATACCCGAACCTCGTTCAGCGAAATGGCCTTGGGCGCTACAGGGCGGGCAAAGCTCGGCGTCGCTGCTACTCTCGAGTTTGCCGCGCCTGCACCCAAATTGTTAGACTAATAGCATGGTCTCAATCAACCAACACAATAGTGTTCCCTCTATTCCCTCCCGCTCGCACCCAGCGTTCCACTTCCTGTTGGTGGTTGTGTGTTCATACGCCGTTCTCTTCTTTTTTTTCGTTTTGTCGTATTTTTGATAAACCCTTTCTTGTCCTGTCTAATTCTAAAGCACCCAGTGGGCGGCGCTGAACGTTGTATGGGGTGTGTGGTGCGCTCCGTCTTCTTGCGACAGTGTTGCTGGTAGTCGTTGTTTTGGTGCCATTTCCTCCCCAATAGACCGCGACCTGTCTCTTGAAATCATCGAGAGGCAGGGCCCGCCCGAAGTGCTTCGACGGGTCGTGGCTCGTGATGCCGCAAGAGCGGTGTACTGCTGCACCGCGAATGAAACGTCGTCTCCCGACCGACCCCCCGGTGTGTCGATTCATTCACCCGCCCTGCTTTCCCGCATCCGCCGCCAAGTCGTACGTATCATGTCGGTGTGTTGTTGTGGCTCCGCACGAACGCTGCTAACACCACCACGGCAACAATAACGTTCAAAACGACGTCGACAGTGTGTGCCGTCTGCGAGAACGACTACTACCCCAGCGGCAGCTACGAGTGCCTGGAGTGCTCCGGGGGTAACGCTGCATCCTCCATGATCACCATCATGTGAGACCCCCAGCAGCTGCTGTCGTCAGCATGGGGCGCCATCTCCGCATCAACTGTGGTGGCCTTCGCCCGTAACGCCCCCGCCCGCCCCCCCACCCCCCATAGATAGGTTAGGGGAAAACATTTTTTGTTCCTCGCCTAGCGCGTAACTAAGAGCTTCCCACCTCATCTCCTGTAGGTGCGTACGCCCTTTGGGCTGGCAGCGTTTGGCCAGAAACTCGGCTGATCCGTCCACGTGCGTAGTAGAGACACATCGCGAAGCGGCCACACAGAAAGCTAGCGTAGAAGTATGTACGCGGAAGCTCTTACTCAGTTCCACCGCGTGCGTAGCGATTTCTCCGGAGGCGTTTAGGTGATCTAAGCAGAGGAGCACAGGATGCGTGCTAGATATTAGTTAACACACGCTTGCCGCCCCGCTGTTTGCCCTTGACTTGATCGGTTTGCTGTGTCTTTTTTTTATGGCATATGTATCCGGACGGCATGTACACACGTGTGAAAAAAACAGCCTCTTCCTTGCGGCGCTAGCGGTGTTTCTGGTGGTGCTGTCCAAGGCGTCGTCGACGTTGGAGGAGAAGGCGAGGGAGCACGATGACGACGCCAACGACGCCGCGGCGAGCAACGTCATGACCGTGGGAACCAACTCCAAGTGAGCCAGGGGGTACCTATGAGGGGGGGGGCGGGGGCGGGGGGGCGTCTGCGCTTCCACGGGAGGAATCGGGTTCGGTTGGGTCGGTCTCTCACTTGTGTAGATGAGAGGGATGAGTAGTCAAGCGTACAGTGCGTTTGTGGCGTGTATGTAGAACGGGTGACGTTGTTTCTCCATCGCAGAGTAAGTCTCACGTTACGGACGCACGGCCGCCGCTGCACCTGCCGCCGCCGCCGCCACGATGTCGGCCGATGGCGGCGGCAGTGGCGGTGGAAGCGAGTGAGTTGTGCCGGGTATGTTTCATGGCCAGAGGTGCGTCACCGGTCGGAGTACCCAGGACAAGCTAGCTCACAGGGTAGAGAATCGTGCATGGCGCCCTACCTTGCTGTCTACCCAACCGCAGAGCTTCCATGGTGGAAGCCTGGTCCTTCCTTGCTATCTGCTCAAGCGCAGAGCTTCCTTACTTGTCTACCCAACCGTTGAGCTTCCATGGTGAAGCAAGCCTGCCTCGGGTTAAGCTTGGCGGGAAATGGGCGGGAGGGAACGTGAGGAGGTCTAATCCCTGCTTCCGCTCGCTTCGCTACCCACGTGTCTGCGTCATAACTACCATGCGTTACTGCTGTACCACAAGAGTGTTCAAGTTCATCAAGCAGTGGAAGGACACCCTGGTGGTACGGTTCAAGATCCTGGTAACGCACTTCCAGATCGTCACCACCTTTCCCGTCGTGCTCGACGTCCAGTGGCCGGAGGCCTTCAACCGGTGTGTGTGCTGCGCTTGTGTGTGTGTTTCTTTTTTGTTTCTGTTGCAGCACCTGGAGGCCGTCATCCTGTGTGTGCTGGTGCTTGTGTGTGTTCGTTTTTGTTTCTGTTGCAGTACCTGGAGACCATCAACCGGTGCGTGCTGGTGTGTGTGTGTTCATTATTCTGTTGTTGCTAGCACCGGCCGCGACGCCAGTCTCAAAGACGACAGTTCCAATGCGGCTAAGTACGGAAAACGCTTCAAAACACCATGATCTGGGACCCCGTGAGGGGGCGGCTTTTGATTGGCTTGTGCGTTTGTGTGCACGCACCTGTGGTTTCCCGTGTGGGCGAGAGAGCCCGTCCCCACGCCGGGGCGGTCTTGGCATCTTCCTGTTTCCTGTTTCGTTTGATGTGCTCAAGGTATTACCGCGTTTGGAGGATTGTGTCTCTGGATGCATTTTGTTTTTTAGTCCTAGAAAGGTGTTCGTCAGTCGCGTCGCATCGTTTCCGGTTCGATGAGGCTCGAAGCGTCTGATATGCACCTCAAATTGTGTTCACTTGCGATTGTATATCCCTGCCCCCTCGCCCCCCCCCCTGCCCAAAGATACGCCGACAAGGTTTCTGTTATCAGCCTGGACTTCTGGGGCCTGCTGAGCCAGAGCTGCTGGTTCCAGCCCGACTTCCTCAAGCAGCTCGTGTTTACCACGCTGCTGCCGCTCGGTATCGTGGCTGTCCTCATGGCTCAGTACGCCAAGACCGTCAGGTGTGAAGGAACGCTCCCGTGTGTCTGCCGTTGTGTGTTAATAGGCTGCTTCATCACTCGAAATCGATTTGAAGATGTCTGCAGGCCTTTACGCACTATGTCGGTACCAGTGCCATCAGCTGCAGTCGCACGAGTGTAAGTCTCCATCATGGGTGCATGTTCTCACAAGCCCCCCCCCCCCCCGTCTATATACCTCCTCAGAACGCGCAGCACGGAGGCGTCGCGGCGCGCGGCTTTCGACAACACGGCCGGAGGCGTCTTGCTGACGGGGTTCTTCTTCTACATCGTCACGAGCACGCTCATCATGGAGGCGTTCGACTGCCAGGACTTCGACGACGGATCGAGCTACCTCAAGGCGGACTTCCGCATCAGCTGCGGCAGCAACAAGTACACCTTTATTTACGTGAGTGGTGCTACTGGGTTAGCTGGGTAGCTGTGCCTGTGCAGCGCCGGTGGTGCCCCGCATCCTCTGAGAGGAGGAAGTAACCTCGCCCGTGAGGCATCTCCTGTTCGTGTGCGGTCGCGTCGGAATCTTCTTGGCTCATGCGTACATGGCACACTGTGTTCTTTTTCATGCTGTTTGATTTGCTTTTGCTACAGAGCGAGCAGTCTTGCAAGTTTTAGGCAAGGTAAGTGCTTATCCTGCGAGCGATACTCATCTCCTGCGAATTGTATAAACCTTCTCAGTTGTAGTACCACGGTCGTGTGCCACCTCCGTATGTTTTCCTAAACTTTTGTGTGTGTGTGTGTGGCTTCTAGGTTTACGCAATCATCATGGCCATCATCTTCCCGGCGGGCATCCCTCTCACCTACCTGGCCGTGCTGTACCTGGGGAAGGAGCGGATCAACCCCGACCCTGTCCACCCGGAGGTTTCGATCAAGAAGAGGGAATCCGACGCCACGATCAAGAAGACCAAGTGAGTTTGATACCGGTGGACGACGGGCTTGCCGGCTGTACGCACGTTTTTTGCCCTCAATCAACCCTTGGACGAGCGCACTCTTCCCTCTCGGGTGCGTCGACGCTTATCTGGTGCCGGGGTGTTGGAGTAAAAAAACACACGAAAAAAGAGCGGAGACGTCTACGATGAATGTCGTAGCGGAGGACATTTTGGAGCAAAGACCCGAAACGACGGTAGAAATCGGGCGTTCATTGAACCAGCCCGGCCTGCCCCCCAGCCGTGATTGCCGTGGGTTGCAGAAGGTAACAGAACGCCCCTTAAAAACCGATTTTCTGATTTCTTGTGAGTGTGCGGCACGAACATTGCACACAGCAGTGACGGTGCCAAAAATGTCGCCCGTCTCGTAGACGAACTTTTCTGAAAACGTGTCCTTTTGATGTTTGGCGTTTCTGGCGGAGAAATCGAGCTATTGGGATCGGTCCAGCGGGTGTGATTTATTGCCAAACATGCTTGTCGAACGACTTGCTTGTCGAACGACTTGCTTGTGGGACAACTTGCTTGTCGAACGACTTGCTTGTCGAACAACTTGCTTGTGGGACAACTTGCTTGTCGAACGACTTGCTTGTCGAACGACTTGCTTGTCGAACAACTTGCTTGTGGGACAACTTGCTTGTCGAACGACTTGCTTGTCGAACGACTTGCTTGTCGAACAACTTGCTTGTGGGACAACTTGCTTGTCGAACAACTTGCTTGTGGGACAACTTGCTTGTCGAACAACTTGCTTGCCGTGTTCACTGAGTTGCCTCCGTTCCTCCGTGGGTTTGGCGTGTGTGGTTTCAGGTTCCTGTGGGGGACGTACCGGCCAGCGGTGTACTACTACGAAGTGTGGGAGTGCGTCCGAAAGCTCTTCCTTACGGGTCTGCTCGTCTACTTCGAGCAGGGAACATCTACGCAGGTGCGTAAGGCCAGCGAGCAAACCACAGGGACAAAATAAACACTACAGGAGTTACAGAAGAAAAACGAAATCAGAACTACGACGAGGAGGAGGAGGAGGAGGAGGAGGAGGAGGAGGAGCAAAGGGGCCGACGTCACACGCGAGAGCAATGCGGAGCGGCGGGAGGCGATGAGCTCCCATCAACGTACCTATCCGTCGTGACCCCATCAATGCTTTGTCCCGTCACCCTATCAAAGTGCCTATGATATGTATCCGCTAAGCCATCAATGCATTCATTGCCGCCAACTGTATCCATCCCGCACCGCGGTGAAAGAGTGACGACAACAACAGCGGCAATATCCGTAGCGAGTTTTTACTTCCCCTGGCAGCTGTTGCGTTGCAAAACAACCGATCGACCACGAACTTTCACCAATCGTCAAACGTTTCCCATTCCAACGAGGGCTTTGTAACCAATCAGAAAACTGAGGGAACCTTCGCTCTCTCTGTGTAGCATCGCAGCACGCCCGGTATTTAGCTCGACCAACTCGAACCCCGAATTGATTCCCAACACCGCGAAATCGGCGCGCGCGTGTCCGTGTCTGCGATGTCCGTCTGCCTGACGATCTCGACCTTCGCCAGGTGGTGATTGCGATGCTCATCACCCTCGCGGGACTCCGCGTTCTGGCCGGTCTTCGGCCTTACCAGAGGGAAGACGAGAACAACCTGGCCGAGGCTTCGCTCTGGGTGACATTCCTGACGCTGTGAGTATATTTTGTGGTGGTCAAGTCTCGAACCCGTCGCACGTTTTTTCGAGCGAACGCTGCGCTGCCGAGTCTCCGCCCATAGTGCGTTGTTGCCTTGGAGCTTTGCACCCGCTTGCAGTCTACCTACCCAATCGTTGCCGTGGGCCTTTTTTTTTGTCACGCACGATCTGCGACCTCGACGGACTTTGGTGCCCACGGTCCGGCCTTGATCGAGGCGCGGCGCAAAAGACAACCACTTTTTTTTTTCAATCAAAAATGGGACGTATTTTTTGTCACTCCTTTACCGCCGCCCCCCCGTAGAATACGATAGCTCATTCTAGCCAACACCGCAACGTAGTTCTAGCCAACACCGGAACGTAGTAGGCTGTGTGGGAGAGATTGCTTGATGTCCCCCCACCACAAATGCGCATGCTAATAGATTATCCGCACTACACTTTTTTTGGAGCGGCGGCTTGCGTGCTGAAGCGATGACGTTTGCTGGCGCTTGATCCACACACATGACCCCAATATGCGTTTATTATTTATTTTGTTGCTTTTAAGTTGAATACGTCGCTCCCTGTTGTCCCCTCCCTCCCCCCCGTTGCGACTCGAGCCTCGGAGCGCGACATCGCTCGCTCGCGGCGTCCTGTATCGGTCGCTTCGCGCTGTGCTGACCCTCTGGTGTCCCGCGGTTGCATTACTGCTGGTGCTTCCGCCGCTGGTGCTGCAGCAGCTGCTGAAATGCTGTCACTGCTGCTCTTGCTTGCGCTGTTGTTCGCGTTCTGATGCCCAAATCAAGGTTTGCGGGGCTTTTGATCAAGGCCGACGTCGCCGATGAGGATGGGTGAGACAGACGGGGAGAGATTGTGTACCATGGTTGTGCTCTTTGTCCGTTTTATCGTGGGCTGGCTAGCTGCATCTGTCGTAAACTGTACATATGTGTGCCGTTCATGTTAATTTCTGGATGTTGTCCCAGTCTTTCACCTTTCGGTATGTTTTTTGGGCGTATCAGCTGAGGTCACACAAGACAGAGCAGGGCAAAACGGGAATGGTGTTGGTGCTTTTATTTCTCAGCTTTTTCTTGCTACAGCAGTGCTTGTCTCTAGCGTGTGTAGCGACGTTATATTCAGCGGTTGCTATCCCTCGCCGACCGCGATAATCGAGCTTTATACTCACCAGGTTATCGCCATCCGTATTTGTTCGGGCGTACTGCTGTGAGAAAAACAAAAGTCCCAACTTTTTTTGTGTCTGTGTGCCGAAGGTTGCAAGGTTGAGGATACCAACTGGGCGCGTCTAGCTGCCTGTGCCCCTTAGTACATGGCACCTCCGCCATGACTGAGCTGCTAGTAAGCTGCTGGAAGACAGCACCCGTCGACGCTTCAGCACGCCTTTTTTTTACGCGAACCCGCATGTTGTGTGGATCATATGACTCTTGCTTGCTGCGACGCACCGATACACCATGTGCACCCTTTCGTTTTGCTTTCGTGGCTTTCTTCCTCCGTTGCAGGTACGACACCGTGGCGTTGGGAGTTATCCTATCGATCATGAACGCGGCCTTGTTTGCATTGGCTGCATTCCAGGTGAGGAGTAGAAACCCACGTGGGGCTGTTACAAGCGTTCCGCGGATGCGGGTTCTGGAGGTTATATTTCGTTGATGCTACACTAAAGTTTTGTTTTCATCGGTCGGTCGCGATTTTTAGTCGGTTCTACAGCGTCGCTTTTCGAAGACTGAAATCGAGGAGGACAGTTTCTCGTTTGGTGAACCATGTGTTGCGTTTTTTTTTGCCCCTCAATACTCTCCCGCGGTTGACTCTAGCGAAGAAGCGCGGCAAAGAGATGTATCGATCGATCCGCTTGTTGCCGGTCACAGGGCGGCGAGCCGTGTCTAAGCGGGCTGATGTTGAACGACCCCTTCACGAGAAGACCGTTGACACATGCCTGGTAGAAAACAACGGTATTCAAACAACACGGTGCGGTGCCCCCCCCCATGCCACCGCAAGAGACCACATATGAACGCCGTTGATACATAGAAAACCACGACATTCGCATACCACGGTGCTCCCCATCCACCACGTGTGGGCCGTAGAAAAGCCCCCCCGAACAAAACAGTCAACAAGGACGACGTTTGACGATGAATGTGATGTTTTTGCCGGAAGGACGGAAGGACCAGTCAAGTATCTTGCGGGAACCAATATCTTATGGGCTCTGCATCTCTGCGTTGCTAGTTTTTACGGACTTGTCGCGCCTGCCTTTCCTTCGATTTTTTCGCCCGTCGCTGACGTCGCGCACATCTTGACGTTCAACCTTCTTAACGCTTTCGGCGAACAATATCCCAGATCCTGTGGACTACGAGCCAGTTCTTCAAGGAAAAGTGTGGCGGAGCATTCGGAATCGACATCTCAAAGAAGTGAGTTTGTTGTCATGACACTGTTTTGATTTTTCGTGTTGTTGGTGGGATGTACCTTTGACCTGTTTCGCGGGACGCGTCTGGCTACGGTGGAGGTACGCGGTACGAAAGAACCCGGCCACCCATGCCGTTACAGAAAAGGATAGCCTGGCAAATGAGCGAGCGGATGGGATGAAATTGTGTGGGCGTTTTGGAAGGTACACACCGAATGTTTGACAAGCAATCAAAACACACACACACACGCGTTTGGTATCTCTGGAGAGGGTCACCGTACGCTCAAGGAGCCGACGGGTCCCGGGACGAAAGTCAGTAAGACCAGAGAGGGAGACAACACGCGAGGAAGGACCGCAGAGAACAAGTCTGTCAACCTTTTCAGGCGGCAGCATTGACACCAGCAGTTTTGAGCAAAATGCAACGCGTGGATATCCGCCCTCTCCGAGCTCGAAATCCACTCTCGACCGGAGCTGGTGGCTCGCTTGGCTATCGCCCGTACATCCTACCTACTTCAGTAGGCCCTAAGGAAGAAACGCAGATCCACTAACAGTCAACACAAAATCGGTTGCCTTTGGTTGCCTGGAGAACAACCTACGGTCGCTTTTTCTTTTTTTTTCGCGCACCCCGTCATTCGTTTAACTGCAAGGTCGACCTAACCCCACTCCCCACAAGTGTGGTTGCTCCCCACAAGTGTGGTTGCTCCCCACAAGTGTGGTTGCTCTCGCAACGCTGCTGTGCTGTACCGAACCGCTTGTACCAATACCACGACAAACTGCATCCGTCACCCAAGCAGGCAGAGGCCGGACGGGCAAGGGCCCTCTTCCGGCAGGGTCGGCGAGCAGTACCAGCAACACCTTCAGCAGCAGCAGCAGCGGCAGCAGCAACGGCAGCAGCAGCACGCGCCGCTATCCGCCTCTCCCGAAGCGCGGACCGCAAGGGCCGGCCGCCCAGGCAAGTGGAGCGCACACCTTGCGCACAGTTGTAGAAGTTGCAACCCTTGCTTGTGTCAAGCCGCGTTTGGGATGAGCTGAGCTTAGAACCACCGAAAAATGAAGGGCTGCATTGTTTGTCCTTGGTAGATAGGTCGCGTCTTGTTCGGTCGACTTTTTGACGTGTTGAGCGGGAGAGCGAGCGAGTCTTAGGGAAAAGTTACGTTTGGCCGCCGCCGCCGCCGCCGCCGCCGCCGCCGCCGCCGCGTACTCGCCGCTGATGCCCCCCTTGAGCTACTATCCGGCAGAATCCTTGATAGCCTCGCCCGTCCCCCAATCTTCGGTTGGTTTCGAAACCGCTCGCTTTGATGTAAAATATATCCAAACGGTGGGGGTTGATGTCCCCCGCCGCCGCCGCCGCATTTTTTTCTCGCGTTCAACGGTCGGGGTTGATGTCCCCTCCCCCCCCCCCCCCCTGCCGCATTTTTTTGTCGCACCAGATGTCAGGCCTTTTGAACAGTCTCCTCGCCACCGCTCGCCGGTGCCGATGAACAACCCGATCCGCGGAGGCGGGAGGGTACCCCAACAAAGCGGCAAGGCCAACAACTACCGCTCCGCTGGCTCCGTGGCCTGAAACTGACGTTGGATCTTTGTGTATCTGTCTCTTCCGGCGACGAATCGTTGAGTGCGCTAATACTGGGAGAGACTGTGCCAAAACCGGCGGTTGATGTGTAACAGCGAGGTCAGGAACACCTACCGCTCCTCCCTGGATGCTTGTACGCATACATTTTGTTCCGAAAAATGTACAGCAATCGCGTCGGGGTCCAAGGCTTAATTCAGTTTGGGAGACCGATTGTAAATTTCCGCCGCGTTTTTTTTGTCAATCGTTCGTGACCGGCCATTTTTCAAAGCTCGAATGACTGACTACTGTTTCAGGGACGCACCCTATGTGACCAACCGAGCCACGTCTCCCGCCGCGTGGAGCAGCAGCAGTTGGCGTTGTAGCGCCTTACGGGGCGTGATCGTTTTGGCGATGGTTCCGCCGCGGTCCTCTGCGTTCCAGGCTGGCGAGAATTTATCCACCCGCCGTACAATACATGTGGTATCGTTTTGTTGCGTTGTTTGTTGTTGGGGTTTGGAGCCGGGAGGGGAACTGGCGATGCCGTATCGTGTGATAGCTGTATGTGGCAGGGCTAAGCTCAGGTGGTGTTTACAAGGGGCCAGATGGAGTTCGCGGGGAGCAATATCTCCCGTGTTCTTTGCTGTGTCCGATGTCCTGACTTTTTTCGGGGCAAGGGGCGGTGGGCGCCCCTGTCTGATCGTAACGATTTGTTTTTTTCAATACTGGCCCGTAGGGAAAGTCTAAACTATAGCCTTGGTTTATTTTGTTGCCGCCCTTTCACGCGGCCTGTAAGGATTCGCGGGCGTGGGAGAAGATGCAAGATTATTATGTGCAACTTCATCTTGAACTGGCCACGCACCGGAGCTGAAGCGAAGAAGTTTTCTTGTCAGATTCATGACGTGTTGGCGATAAAATGTGGGGATGTGGATGTGTGCTGTGCAGTGGCGGCGCAGTTTGCCGGCCTTCGTGTGTTTTTTTTGTCGCGTCAGGTTTTCCCTCGTCCCTCCACCGGCCCATTCGGTTGTGTACAGGCTACGACCGCGATATTCGTTTGATTGGTACCCCGCGTTGTGTCACGATGGGCGTCTCATAGCATGGTACATATGTTAATGGTTGGAAATTGTCGTGCTTCAACCTGTAGTGATGTGTGTGTAGAGTATGCGCCTACGGGTGCTATAAACTTGTTTGTGGTAAGGGTTGACTCGCCGCCGTGTTCGTGCGATCTCTTTGTGTGGGCACGGGGGATGCGCGACGCGTACGAGCGATAGCTATATGGTTGCGCTTCGGAAGCTTTTCAGTTTTTGGAGTTCCGCGCAGGGGTCGCAGTTGAAGGAGCTGTCAAGCTCTGTACTGACGGTTCCGTGCCATTCACTGATGTTGTACGATGTTGGAGCCCCGAGAGGGGGTTAAATTCCTCTACAGTTTAGGGCGTCGGGTGGCTTTCCAATCACTTGCGTGTGCCGCTTGTTGGCAGCTGTGTTGAAACTAAACGAGCTCAGGATTGAGTTCTACTGCGCTTGACCCACGCAAGTTTTCGTCGACTTGAACTTTGTTGAATTGAAACACACGGCCATGATTCTCATCCACTGGTTGGTCCGCTGATCACGCCTGGTGCGCAGAAAGGGCTGCCGACGATGACACCGCCAAGTGCACCTGGTATTACGCCCACATGGCCGCGATCCCCATGAATGTGCACATCCTCTTGAATGTTTCGGTGTTTAGTTGTGTTGAAAAATTGGTGGCGTCCCCTTCGCGCGGGGTCGCTGTTGCCATCTCGTCGTTAATAATAGGGAGCTGCGACGAGCATTACAGACGCACAAGCAGCATAGGAAAAAGGAACAAAGCAGCGCACTTTGCCGTCCACGGGTTCTCAAGCTCTCCCCCACAACATCGATATAACCGGGGCCATTGGCATAGATGTGGAGGAAGAAGATATGTGGGGAGCAACAACATATCTTGCCGGGCATCAAAGAGTGTCGCTGGCAAAAAAAGAACGGCGCGCGCCCGACGTTCAGCCTGGTTGTTCAACCACCGAAATTCGTGCCTGTTTCTTGAACAGCATACCGTATTTGTGCGTGTTATCGCACCCCCGTGATAGCTTCTTTTTTTTCTTTAGCGTATTTCTCCACAACCAGGGGGGTACCACTGCCGGAAAGGGTAGTTTTGGAAACATCTCGTCGAGGACTTTCCTGAGAGGTATCGGTTGGTGTTCGCACCCTCCTAGTTGTGGAGAAATACGCTACAAAAAAAACGCCAACACGGGGGTGCGATAATACGCACAAATACGGTACGCGAGAGGAGGGGCGGGATAGGGGCCAGAACCAGCGCAACAATGTGGTAGAGAACACCAAGCACAAGAAAAAAAAATGAGGTTGGCGGGTACGTCGTCGGGACATTCTCAATGCGCTTCTGACACGCGCTGAACGAAGCATGGCGTTGCCATCGAAACAATCTGCCACACAGCACGGGGTGCTATGTGACACGTTGACGCGACATCCTGCAAGAAACTTCCCACCAGCCACGGGGGGTACTACAACAACCCTGTACAGCACTTTTACGAAATAAAACGTGAAATGCTTGCACCGAATACAACCCCGACACGACGAACGACACCGAGCACGAAAGCGCACGCGCAAGAGACCTTCGAAAGTGGACACATGATGTCGACGCCGGCAAAACCTTGAGTTCTCTGGGGTCGGTTCGGCGGGGGCAGGTGGGGGGAGCTTCGTACTTCCCTCACGAGTGTAAAGGAGCACGGGAAACGCAGTGTCACAACGGTCAAGTCCGCGCAGCGTAGAGAACACGGGACATACGTGTACCGCTCGGTAGCGCATACGCTCGCAAGAGCCTTATCCCGTTTTTTTAGGGACTCCACTCGAAAAGCTCCTCCATGCTTCCCCTGCCACCCCCCCGTCTACGCGATACGTACGACGGCCAACTTCATCGCTGTCCTCGGCGAAAGCAAGCAGCGGAGGCTATCCGGTGTCTCTAGTCCCTATTCTCCCTCTCCTCCACCTCCTTCTTCACGCTCATGTCCCAGACGGCCTGCTATTCCCGCCGCCGGCCGCCGCCGCCACCGGCCCACCTGCCCCTTGCCCCCTTCTGCGGAGCCGCTCGCGAGGCCCGCGACGACGGCGCGGAGCCTCCTAGAACGCAAATCGGGACTACGCTAGGTCGGCCGTGAGCGCAGAAGAACGGGTGGGCGCACGAGGCTAGGTTGGCGACAAGCTCGACGCAATCGGAGCGCGACAGCAGGTCTCCGAACCTGAACAAAAACCGAGCGAGAACCGGGTCGGGGGCGGGGGGGGGGGGTGTACTCGTAGTCGTGCATGCCGTAGTCGTTAGACCATTGACCTCGCATCCCTACAAAGCCGGAACGGAGCACGCCGGGCTCGCACCGGACCAGGCTCTCACATCACCAATCGCGAAGCGCCGTGAGGTATTCAGCCAGTCGCATGAAGGGTGCGCTGCATCCTGCTAAGGGTGTTCGGCATATTGTGCTTACTTCCTTGCGTACGGATGACAGCTGCGTATGACTTAATTTATTTTCTGGTGCTTTCATTTCCAGAGACAGTTGCAAGCACTGTGTAACTGCCTCAAGGATGCTTGACCATTTTAACACAACGTGGTGCGATCATCCCCCTTGCGCGGAGTGAGGTTTCTCGACCCCGCACAACATGATCTACTCGACCACCATTATGGTTACCGCAAAAAAAAAAAAAACAGGGGTAAAAAAAAAAACGGTAACCTGGTTGCCGAGTTCACGAAGTGAATTAGCTTGTTTTACAACGTCGTTGCCAAGCGACGAAAACCCAATCCCGATGGCAAACACCGGGCGGGGCGGCTTGTTTTACAACGTCGTTGCCAAGCGACGAAAACCCAAACCCGATGGCAAAACACCGGGGAGGAGAAGGGGGAGAAGGGGGGGGGGTGTACTCATAGTCGTGCATGCCGTAGTCGTTAGACCATTGACCTCGCATCCCTACAAAGCCGGGACGGAGCACGCCGGGTTCTCACCGGACCAGGCTCTCACATCACCAATCGCGAAGCGCCGTGAGGTATTTGGCGAGTCGCATGAAGGGTGCGCTGCATCCTGCTAAGGGTGTTCGGCATCTTGTGCTTACTTCCGGATGACAGCTACGTATGACTTAATTTATTTTCTGGTGCTTTCACTTCCAGAGACAGTTGCAAGCACTGTGTAACTGCCTCAAGGATGCTTGACCATTTTAACACAACGTGGTGCGATCATCCCCCGTTGCGCGGAGTGAGGTTTCTCGACCCCGCACAACATGATCTACTCGACCACCATTATGGTTACCGGCCAAAAAAAAACGAGGTAAAAAAAAAAACGGTAACCTGGTTGCCGAGCTCACGAAGTGAATTAGCTTGTTTTACAACGTCGTTGCCAAGCGACGAAAACCCAATCCCGATGGCAAACACCGAGTGGGGGGCTTGTTTTACAACGTCGTTGCCAAGCGACGAAAACCCAAACCCCGATGGCAAACACCGGGGGGGGCGGCTTGTTTTACAACGCCGTTGCCAAGCGACGAAAACGCAACCCCGATGGCAAACACCGGGGGGGGACGAAGGGGGAGAAGGGGGGGGTCTAAAAGGTCGG